AACACTGGTGCAGTTTAGGGGGGAAAGACCTGCATCAATTCTTCAGTGTGGATGCAGCCTTAGATAGTTCTGGTAATAAGACAGAACACAATAAGATCCATAAAGGTATAAACTGCAGCTGTACAGTGTAGCTCAGGCATGGGAAAAGTTCGGCCCTCCAGGTGTTTTGGACTCCAACTCCAGGTGTTTTGGACTCCGGTAGGCTGTTAGGAATTGTGGGAGTTGAAGTCCAAAACACCCGGAGGGCCCAAGTTTGCCCATACCTGGTGTAGCTGCACCTTGGGACTCACAGAAGCAAAAATGGGATTTAAGAAAAATGCAAAATCTCTGAGCAAAAGAAAATACCTCACCGTGCCTAACGACGGAGTGAATGCCAATCCTCTTTTTAAAATTATCAAGCCATCCCCGACTGGCTTTGAACGACTCTTTCGGTGCCTCATCCGTTGATGTTCCCGGCGTCTGACGCATCAAATCCCTGTAAATGGCCCGTGCCTTCTCGCAGATGATGCTCTCGGTCACGGAATCTCCCGCGAGCTGGCTCTCCGTCATCCACGCCAACAACAACTTCTCCATCTCTTCGTGGAGAGCAGTCCGGCGCTTTGAAATAATCGTGACGCCCTTGGCTGGCGTTATGGCCTTGATTGACTCCTTCTGCTTCAAAACCGAACATATCATTGAAGCGCTACGATCGTACTGCCTTGCCAAGTCGACAACACGCACACCTTGCTCGTGTTTCTCGATGATTTCGTGCTTTATATCCAAGCACATCATCCTTTTCTTCTTGGCACCGACTTTCTTTGGACCCATGGTTAGCCAGACCTTTAAACCAAGAGATTCAGAATATAGATTTGTTATGATTGTTAAGACAATACCCTTAGATCACAACGGGTGGTGTCAGAGGAGTCACCAAAGATGACCAAAAACACCATATTTTCTATTGGTCATAGGGTTTTGTGTGGGCAGTTTGGCTCAATTCTATCATTGGTGGGGTTCAGAATGCTCTCTGATTGTAAGTGAACTATACATCCCAGAAGCGACAACTTCCAAATGTCAAGGTCTATTTTCCCCAAACCCAACCAGTGTTCACATTTGGGCATACTGAGTGCTCGTACCAAGTTTGATCCAGGTCCATCATTATTTGAGTCCACAGTGCTCTCTGAATGTAAGTGAACTATACATCCCAGAAACTACAACTCTAAAATCATAACAGTAAATAAACAGCAACACTCAAAAACAGGAGAATTCCAGGCAAGAATCAACCAGGGCCAGCTAACACCTCCAATCAAAGGATTCCCCAGGCAGGAAGCACCCAGGCTTTGAAGCTGTATAGCCATTCAGTGCTGATCAAGGTAGCCAATTGCTACATTCACACTTGCCTCAAGCAGACAAGAGCTCTTTCTCCCACTGTGGACATTCCACAGATGTATAAACCACACTTGCCTAGTTTCCAACAGACCTCTCAAACT